AAAGAGGAGGAGAGTGAGCACAAACCTATAGACTAGTAGGTAGGGTATTCACCTGAAAGGTGTAAACCTGGCTTCCAAATAATATTTCATTAAATGCTGGAGTAGGGGCTGAGCAGAATTCTGTTTTATCTATTGGAAAAACAAAGTGCAGCTTGAAAGTAACTCTGAGTTAACCAACTAATCTGTAGAAGGGATGCAATTACCCCTTCTTGGCATATAAGTGCCCCATTATAGGACTAGGAAGGCGGCTGTGCTCCCTAGAGGGTGGTCCCAGTTGAAACAGAATTCTGCACCAAGTCTTCTCTCATGTGAGTGCCCCAAGAACTAAGCCATAGATGTCAGGAGCTGTACCTTTAAGAGGCTCTCACAAGAGCCAGGTGGAACAGAGTGTTGCCGTCTGCAGAGGCTCACATTATTTAATGCCGATCACTTAGAAATTTGACACTGATTCAGGTCAGACATCTTGGTCACCTATACACGTGCAGCGAGGCAGCTCCGACGTGCTGTAAGTACAGCATGTTGGAGCACATTAATCAAGTCTGCTGGAGAGTGGTAATTACCATGGTCCAGCAGACTCCAGCATCACATGTATCAGCATCCCGTGCTGAAAAATGGCAGGGAACTTTAACTAAAGCTCGTTCAATGAGCTTTAGTTAAAACGCCCCTGCCAACATGTTTCAGCATGGGAACACTGATACGTAGACAATCCAAATGTTTTAATTAGAGCAGCTCTTGAAGCCACTCTAATTAAAGCACCTCCTCACCACCGCTCCCAGAGCATGTGTATAAACTCCCCTTGGAACAGATGCTATTCCATTTGTTAGGCATATAAGTCCAAAAAAACTGTTAATACAAAAGATAGTTGTGTTCTCCACTTCCTATCTGCTGTTTTGTGACCCTTGTTAAGGGTCAGATGAATGTGTGTTACATAAGGAGATACATTAATATTTTTTTAGGGACTTGAGGATGAAATAGGATCACACATTGGGGTACCTGAGTCCAATTCCGCAGCCAATAGATAGCATATGGTCCCTTGTTGCTGGGGGCGGGGTTTGAACATATGATACCAGGAATAACGTTCAATAAGACAATACTCTGAGTGAAAGAGTATATTCCACATATAATATGAAACATATGAATATACCAAGAGTATAAATAGAATGTGAAAACATAGAAGAGCTTATAAGTAAATTAAATGTATATAAAAAAATTGGAAATGTAATTTGGAATGTCATGAGAGAAACAAGTACCTATTACTGAGTTAAAAGTTTGTCATCTCATTGGTTTCATTGAAAGGATGAGGACACTAGAAGAACAGATGAGACCCACATGCCCATTTAATAGTATCAGGCAATTCAGAGTCTAATTGTTGATTTTCAGGTTTTTATATATAGTTGAAATTCTGTATTAGGTTGATTATTAATTATGTTTATGTTTGACTGGAGAAGATATGGGAAGCACTACCTTTAATAAAAAGTCAGTTAGAGCAGGTTATTTATTATATTGTATAGGGGTCTGTATTACACAATGCTAACCAGTTAGAGCTCATTGGTGCTGAGGTTTTCTGAACACAGAAAACAAAGCAGCATATTGGGCAATAGGAAAGGGCAAGAAGCAGAAAACAAAGTAGCACTTCTAAAAGAATTATACAACAAAAAGGACTCCACATGGGATAACAAGGGATGGCTGCATCTTTAAGACTGGTGTGGAAGTTGGAAGATCTACCTTTAGCTCCTGGCTCTAACACAGACTTCCTGTATGATTCAAATTCACTTAATCTCTGTATGCATCAGTTCCCATTTTCTATGATGAAAAATATACTCCTACTTCTTGTCATTCTTTTATGTTTAGACTGCAATCTC